AAAAAAAAAAAAAAAAAAAAAAAAAATTCACTGCGTGAATTACCGGCCTGAAATATGCAAACGTACTTTGCGTCCGCAGGTCGCAAATATTCAAAGTACCACGTGCGCCGGCCTACAATATTTAACCCGACAAAATATGCAACAAACTAATACGTCCCAGTTTGGATTCGTGAAGAGGATAATCGAAAACGTTTATCAGCATCGTGTTGGTTGTCTGTTGCGAAACTGAAACGCACAGGAACCGCGAACCGTAATTCACGGGTGTTTCATTGTTCCGCGCGTTCCTAGAAAACAACTCGAATGTAAATAACGTTATTAATCATTCCGAACTCCGACGACGGAATGCAATAGGATCGCGGTTACGTAAGGAGCGGGAGGACTTGCAGGCGTTCGGGAGGGGCGCCGAGAACCCTCTTTCGGCCCTGGAACATTTAAAGGCTTTGACCCTTTCTCAACATCGAAAACGTTCGTAGCATCAAACATTTTTCACGAAATCGAAGGGAATTGGATTTCTACTTTACTCCGAGTCAGTTCGCTCGAACGAATTCGTGATCAGAATGTCCGAAGAGTTTTTTTTTTTGGAAAAAAAAAAAAGAAAAACTCTATAAGAGACCATTTTCTACCTTTCGAGTATACTCTGTCTCGCATTTTTCAATCTCAGCTCCATTTTTCTTTCAATCCTATCGAATCCTTCCGTTTAACGTAGCCGACAAGCAAATTCCACCTATGCCGGGAATGCAAGTGACGTACAGGGTGTCCAAAAAGTCGCTTGAGAATTACCAGGCTGGATCTGGTTGCTTTTAAAAAATGAGTGCGAAGCTGCTCTGCAGTCCAACTGGGTTCGGCTCTCGATTTGGCTTTGACTCGTGCTTGGCAGTCGAAAGGGTCGCGGGGTGAAAGGAGGAGGGCAAAGGGCAAAGTAACTACGACTGTGGCTCCGCTAACGAATTTCAATTTACGCAAGAAGCTACGATGCCTTTGGGAATTTCCAATTGTTTAAGACATCCTACCGAACACACGGAACACACGGAACACACGTGACGCACGTGACGCACGCGCCTCGTATGATTTGCAATGGGATGTAGGAAGTCGTGCGCAGGACACGTAAAGGCAATGGATGGGAGAAATACATGATCCGGAAATACCTTAGCCGCCGCAGGAATCTCTTGGGACAATTAATGTACCTAGGGAGGTTCGCGCCAATAGCAAAGGGGATGCTGGAGATGTTGAGGGATCATTTTCACAAGGAGCTTCACCCTGCGGAATCTTTCATGATAAATTATGGAATTTTTTATATATATCTTCATTTTCAACCACATATGTAAATTCTTCTCGTATTCGAAACACGTGACACGAGTGCACGTGCGTTTGACAAGAAAATGTGTAAAGCTCATTTTCATGGATGAGCAGTGACGTCATAGGCACAGTCACGAGCTTCCAGCGACTTCAGCCTGATCCGGGAAGGGCAAAGTTTCTCCATATGCCCGAAGCGCTCTGCTATTTCTACAAGCACAGCCAATTCGCATTAGTTTCCCCTTTGCCGAGAATCTTTTTCCAGAGTTTCCAAAAGACTAGTCCTAACGAAAAGAGCTTTTTCCTAGTGTTTTCCGTGCAAACAAATAATTACGGTATCCCCCCCCCCCACCACCACCACCCAAAGCTCAGCGATTTCGTAACTTTCCTCGACAGATTCTCAGGCAAGCTGGTGCTTATCGGCACTCGAGCTTTTCCACTAAATCCTATCAGAAAACGCAAACAATCTCGGATGGCCACTGGATGCTGGATGGACCACAACTGGGTCAACGAGCAAAGCTAAACTATACCTCTACGATCGCGAAAGCTCGAATTACGCAGGTATATCGACGATGCGCTCTGTGCCTTCTGAGTACCACTGACGCCTGTAATGATTCCTCGTTAGATTTATAGATAACTTTTGAATCGCAATCTGCGGACAATTGCTCAAGGGTTATTTATCTGAATAATGGCGATTGACGTTCGAAGTGTACGCGATGGTGTTACTGGATCGGTAAGGGACGAAACGTCGCGACGCATCCTGACGTATCGTATGACTGATCTTTTTGAAATTTTTTTTTTCCTCCGCCATGTCAAAACTGTGAACATCCTTTTTTTCCTCGTTGACTTTGTCGACGGTAAAAACTAATTTGTCTCGCGTTATATCTCGACTCCTCGTCAGTTCGTCGCTATAAGCTGTTCGTGCGGATCCAATTAGACTTTGAGGGTAGTCGATGATTATTTCAGGTCAGTTCCCCAGTGTCTGCTGAAAGCTTACTGGGTGATGCGAGTGCGCCCGGAGCTTTGTGTTGAAACCAGCGAGAGCTTCGCTTCGAGAAAGTGACGTCACGGATCGTTCATCGTATCGCTCTTGTGGTTACAGTTACGTTCGAAGCAAGATCAGGATAATAAGCAGCGGGAAGTCAAAAAAGTTATGAGCGCAGATGACAGCAATGCTTTAAGGGGCAATTATAAAAAATATTTTTCTTCGTTGCGATTTTTTTATGATTTCGTAAAAAAAATCGTTAATGAATTTTCAGCAAAGTGGCTTTGGATATATTGGATTTTATAATTGTTGTATCCCCATCTAAGCTTGTAAGGTACCCAAGCTATTCGGGCGTCGTATACACGAGTCAGTCTGTAGAGAGCTCGACTCGCACGGCTCGACGTCTCACCGAGATAATAATAAACGCCGTTTGTTTCCCTACACGTGGGTGTCCGGCTATCTCCCTATCTCGCCCGATCCCACAATCAATAGATTTTTAATACTAATTTCTTGTATAATTTTCAACACTCACCACAGGTGTAGACGACTTTGAGATACATCCTGCTGTCAGGCTTGCAGGGATCACCGAAGGTTGTACTGTTGGCAGCCACTGAGCAGTGTCTTTTCCCATGACACATGTTCATCACGGTCTCCGTCGCGTAGCTCACTGTGCAGGCTGCGGGAAAGATTAATTAATTTTTTTTCTTCATTCGGAGAGAAAATGTCAGCTAGTGATACTAATGGAAGGAAGAGCCGGAGCAAAGATAGGAGAAGTAAGGATGAAACAGCTCTGAGAGTTCTCTTGGGTCAAATAAGAACAATTGCAATTCAATGTTCCTTCGACGTTTACACTCCTGACTGTCATGGGTGTCGTTCGATCAGCGATTATCGGAAAAAAAAATTATTAAACCCCTAGAAATTTTTCTCTGAACGTTGGATCGAGCTTTCTACCAAGAAACGAAGTGAACCTGAAAATCAAAAAATCCCTAGACAAAAAATAATTTCCTAAAATGTGCTATCCATATACTATATATTTTTGAGTAAATTTGAAAATGTCATATTTTGGAAATGATGTTTTTACTTGATCTAAAAAAAAGGATAATTACGGATTAAAATGTATTTCCGTGTATAAAAAAAAAAGCAGATATGCTGTTCGTTCGAATCGCGAGGGATTCTCTTCTTTGAATTGGTCCCATTATCGATGTCTTTTTGAATGGCCATAATCTTTGAAGCACTTGAGATATCGGAATTACCCGGTAGTACTTTTTACTAAGTTTGCAGGATGTCTTTTGTTATCAGGTTCTTGCGCTTTCAGAGTCGATAAAAGTAAAAAGCGCGAAGGAATAGAAAAGAGTGGTATACCACTCTTTTATTCTCATATACGTATGGTACATAGGAACAGTGTGAATTCGCTGTGTCTCGTTTCATAGAAATAGAGATACTCACTCTCCTCCATGACTCCATGAGGTTGTGGACACTGGACGGACTCGTATTCCGTTCTTCCAAAGGATGCACTGTATATAGCCACTCTACGTCCAGGATAACATTTGAGATTGATAACATCGTTCTCGCAAGCGATTTTGCTCCGAAATTCATCTAAAACAAAAAAAAACAATTTTACGTAAATTTTGGAATATTTGCATCCGCGTTAAATTTTATGAATATTTTTCCCATTTTTTTTCACCATTTCTCATTTTTGTCCTCTCGTTCGACTTTTTATTGCATTCAACGAATTTCTCTTGGCTCGAAGCAAAAATCAATATTTTTTATAAACAGAAGCTCAAATCATTTGCTTTATTGCTATTCTATATAATCAAATACATCGTGGTCATTTTTCACGAATTAAATTACCGATGTTGCGAATTATCAATGTACCACTCGATACTTGGCTTTAACACGGCAATACGTGGTATACCTGATACATTCATGCTGTCGGATAAACCATATGTACCTGGAGTCCTTTTACGAGCTTTTACAATTTTCAACAGTCCACCCTTGCTAAATTATACAATCCAAATTCCATTGACTACAGCTGCCCCAATCGCCATTCTCTTGTCCAATTCGAATTTCCAAGGACGCAACTACGCACGCCCAATTTTTTGACACTTCTCGCCTAATCCCAACAAGAGCGTCACGGTGACAGCAATCATCAAATTTTCTTACGGGCAACTTCTCACCCATGCCAACTTGACAGGACAGAAAAATTAAAAAAAAAAAATTAGTACAGAGTACCGCTCGAATGGATCACTCGATGATTAAAAAATTGAATTTTCCTTTGTTGCACGCAAATGGCCGCGAGCGTAGCGAGAAATTCGCGATGCAAAAAAGAAAACAGTGATGGATCGCCATGAAAATTACGTGAATGGATTGTGCAAAAAAAATGTATCGATTCTTCGATCGAAAAGGAACACGACACAAGGCACAGACTAACGAGCAAACGCCACCGGCATACCAAATTACCGTTGAATTTCAGCCCCGAAATTTCACAGCAACGAAATACAAATGAAAATGGCAACAATACGAAGTTCCCGCAGCTCGTCCCGTCCTCGTGAACTTCAAACCGATCGCAGTTCTTCCCTTCGGTTCCATAACTGACCGCTTCTTACTGTCCGCGCGCAACTTCACTCCGCACTTGATACAGCCAGTGTATTTATGCCCGAGACAAAGTGCTATGCCCGGTGGGCTTTATTGAGCTTTGGATTTATGACACTCGGAGCTTTTCAACTTCCGCCTGGCGAGCGGCGTCCTTTCCCACCATTATACTACCTACCCCGCGTTATACCCAGTGACTTAATAAAAAAGCATCGGTTCCCCACTCTCTCAAAGTCGTACAAGAAGAACTTTCGACTGTTCTTTCAGCCTCCGCCAATACCCCGGTAGAATCGTGTCTCATTGAACGGACGAAAGAGCAAAAGAACAAGAGGCGAAAAGTCCGGCCAAAGTTTCGTAGCGGCTCGAAGTTAATTGACGAGAAAGGAATAACTTATTGGCGAATCTTCTAGGAATGACAATGGAGTCCCAGCTTCTCCCAATGACGTAACCCACCATTTGATCGACCCACTTATCTCAAAGTCAATAGACGTCAAAGTCTTGACTTGCCACCCCTATTTCCCTTGACTCAACCCATTCTCGTACTTTCCTTTTGACTACGCCCATGCCCTTTCCCTGATTTTCTCTTTTCAAGCAAAAGACCATTTCCGAGACTACAGCATCCCAGAGGAGCGGAACCTTCTCGATTACCACCTTGGTTACCTCCAAGGGAGCAATCGACAGGAGGACCTCCCTACGTCAAAATGGCTAAGGTGGCTGAGGTGGCTGAGGTGGCTGAGGTGGCTGAGGTGGCTGAGCCTTCGTTATCTCGATTGCCAGTTGTAATTAAACGGGCCGAGAGAGACGTTACACTTGGGTACGATGAGGCCGCAGTGGTAGCCGGCAGGATCCAGGTGTGATACGTCGGAGTGACGATTACATAGCACGTGTCACGTGACATGCCAAACCCAGCCGACGCTTCGAGCTCAGGCGTCTCCGCGCAAATACGTGTTGGCCACATGTGTCACTTATTGTCCCGGGCGAATGCGGGAGCGAGAGAGACAACGAGTGCGCGTGCGAATCTCACTCGCCTGCCAGCAATACGGACGTGCCTGATCCATCCTATTAATTCTTCGGACGCGCATTCGCGAACCGTGACCTGTCAGTCGTTTGCCGAAGGGCTCAAATTCGGCTCGAACGGCACACGAGAGCTTATGGCGGCTGACGATACGCGGCGTTTTGCTCGGGATTATTTTTTTATAAAAAACATTTTTTGTTTTTCTATAAAATTGTATGGGATGGGTCACGTCACGGGGCAAATAAGTAATTGCCGTGAAACATGGCACGAAACTTGGTGCTGGAGACCGCAACTTCCTTGACTCGAGTTGTCTCGCTGAGCTACGTCTTTACTAGAGCAAAGACTAAAGTCCTCGAGTTGCGCAAGTTGTTATTATACCTGCAGCCATAATTTCTATGCTCCTCGTGTTCGCCTGACGTTTTGACTGCAGCTATAATTTTCGTCTTTTAACGTAATAGGGAAAAGTTATTATCGTTTGGCTTCACTATTACGATAATAAGAGTTGTGGGGGTGTATTGATACTTTTTTGAGGAATTTTTTATTTTTATCATCGCTCAATGGCCTTCCATGTGACGTACGTAGCCCCGAGGCATGACGTACCAAAAATTGAAGAGAAATGACGGACAGCTGTCACTGCTATGGGCAGCACTGAATTTCGATGAAATAAATAAACGGGAATGGTACGTCAATTAAATTCGCTCTTCTGAGGTATAATTTCCATTAAATTCGTGATGAGCCAAAAAAAATGAAAAAAGCGACGCGTTTCGGTGCTTTCAAGCGTGCGATCCCGTTAAGGTTGCAATTGGTACCTTTATCTCCAGGCACGCTCATCAATGCCGTGCTGGATGAAGATGAGT